CTCTTCATCACATTCCAATAAGGCAAAAATATTTCGCATAGACCAAAAATCTTTCACATTCTATTTTTCACATTTCTCGAGATTCTTTATTAGACGTGGTAAAGGTCTTTTACCTTCCCCCTTTCCCGAATATACTCAGAGCTGTCATTGATAAAAAGTTGCATAACCTTCGACCAAATTGCAGATATTAATCTCAATATCTTTTTTTTTTTTTTTTTTTTTTTTTTTTTTTTTTTTTTTTTTGATAAGTATGTATTAATCTCTTTATCTTCTTCTTACACAAGTACTTCGAAATATTACTAGGTTTTTTTGTTGGGTTGATGATTTATTTATTCCCTTAATTTTATTTGAGTTGATCAAATGTCATTCATTGTTGTTGTAACTACAAATAGTATCCTTTTTAGAATGAGTGATGTATATCATTGGCCATTTAGTATTCATAGTTGTTTTGTTTTATCTCGATTCAACTTTAATATTTCATTTCAATTTAAAGTCCTCGTTGATTGTGGAAAAAAAAACTCTGTACTGTTGATAATGGATTCTGTGCAACCCGGATCTGATCTAACTTCCTGGACAGAGAGAAGAAAAGGTGATCCTACAAGCACCGGTGTGTTATCGGTGGAGTAGGCTCCGACGAATAAGTCAGTGTGCGAACTAATCTCTTAAGAGAAATCAAGAACTTGAGTTAGGGTTTTTTGCGTACCTCCAAACGTTGATTACCCTGCCTTTTTTATAGGGCTTAGGTTAAGATGCCACGTAGAATTACCTTATTGTAATCTGTAGACTTAATCCATATCGTAATCTGTAAAGCCTATCTCAATCTGTAATCCTTATCGTAATCTGCAGAGCTTATCTCAATAGTGCGTTAATTTAGCAATCTTCCTTTAATTATAGATATTTAAATTATACATCCATCAGTTGCCCCCCGTTTCGGAGGATTGCTTGTCAAACCACCGGAACGTTAATTCCAAAATATCACACAATAATATATAGTTAGAATTGCAGAGCCTTGTCCATTAGCCTGACTTATATTGTCATTTCGCGAATACAGTCGGGGGTCATAGTATCATATTGGCAGCTCGTATATGTGGCAAGCTAATATATTTGTCGTATATTGGCAAGCTTGTATATTTGTCGTAGTGCCACATTGGCAGCTCGTATATGTGGCAAGCTGCCATGCTGGTAGTCTACCGTTATGTGGCAAGCTGCCATGCCATGCCATGCTGCCGTGGCAAGCTGTCTGCTGGCATGTTGCCGTTATTTGGCAGGTTGCCCTGCTGGTATGCTGCCTTTATTTGGCAAGCTGTTATGCTAGCATGCTGCCGTTATTTGGCAAGTTGCTCTGCCAGCATGCTGCCGTTATTTGGCAAGCTGCCCTGCTGACATGCTACCTTTATTTGGCAAGCTGTCATGCTGTCGTTGTTTGGCAAGCTGCCCTGCTGGCATGCTGCCTTTATTTGGCAGGCATGCTGCTTTTATTTGGCAAGCTACCCTGCTGGCATGCTGCCTTTATTTGGCAAGCTGTTATGCTAGTATGCTGCCGTTATTTGGCAAGCTACCCTGCTGACATGCTGCCTTTATTTGGCAAGCTGTTATGCTGGCATGCTGCCCTTATTTGGTAAGCTGCCTTGCTGGCATACTGCTTTTATTTGGCAAGCTGCCCTGCTGGCATGCTCCTATTATTTGGTAAGCTGCCCTGCTGGCATGCTGCCTTTATTTGGCAAGCTGCCCTGCTGGCATGCTCCCATTATTTGGCAAGCTGCCCTGCTGGCATGCTACCGTTATTTTATACTTGATTTTATTGACATCTTTAGTCGGCTTGTCCCTTTAATAAAGAAAGTAGATTAAGACGAGTTCCACGTAACTCGTAATAAGGTAAGTAGATGAATACAAGCTTCACTCAGCTCACCCTTTAATAGGGGAAGTAGATTATTATGAGCTTCACCCAGCTCACCTTTTAACGAGGGAAGTAGATTACTATGAGCTTCACTCATCGGGGAAGTAGATTACTATGAGCTTCACCCAGTTCACCTTTTAACGAGGGAAGTAGATTACTATGAGATTCACTCATCTCACCCTTTAACAAGGGAAGTATATTAATACGAGTTTCACCCAGATCACCCTTTAACAGGGGAAGTAGATTAATACGAGTTTCACCCAGGTCACCCTTTAACAGGGGAAGTAGATTACTATGAGCTTCACTCAGCTCACCCTTTAACAAGGGAAGTAGTTAACCCCTCAACCTTTTTACGAGGGAAGTAGATTACTATGAGTCTCACTCATCTCACCCTTTAACAAGGGAAGTAGATTAATACGAGCTTCACCCAGGTCACCCTTTAACAGGGGGAGTAAATTACTATGAGCTTCACTCAGCTCACCCTTTAACAAGGGAAGTAGTTAACCCCTCATCTTTTTACGAGGGAAGTAGATTACTATGAGCTTCACTCATCTCACCCTTTAACAAGGGAAGTAGATTAATACGAGTTTCACCCAGGTCACCATTTAACAGGGGAAGTAGATTAATATGAGCTTCACTCAGCTCACCCTTTAACAAGGGAAGTAGTTAACCCCTCATCTTTTTACGAGGGAAGAAGATGAAGCTGACCCTTCATTCTTTTAAGGGGGAAAGAGGTGTGGTCTTGACATGGGAGTCATCTCCTCTGATGGTTGTCTCGGGATGTTGGCAAATCGTTGACACTTGTCGCACTTTTTAACGAAATTAAGTACATCTTTCTGCATGGTGGGCCAATAGTATCCTAGTCGGATGGCCTTGTTAGCAAGTAACCTACCCCCAGCATGGTTTCCACAAACTCCTAGGTGGATCTCCCTTAAAATGTAGTCAGCTTCCTCGCTAGAAACGCATCGTAAATACGGCATGGAGAAGCTTCTCTTGTAGAGCACCCCTTTGATAAGCGTATACCTAGCTGCCCGCATCTTGACCTTTCGAGATTCTGCTCGGTCTGTTGGTAGCACCCCATCCTTGATATATCTGATGATAGGATCTGCCCATTCCACACTCAATATCGCTTGTTGCACTTCAATTTGTCTCTCCTGAGATATAGATGGTTCTTCCAAATATTCCAGTGGTATATTCTTCTTAATCTCAGGTTCAATGCAGTAGCTAGCTGGGCTAAAGTGTCTGCTTTCCCATTCTCTTCTCGTGGTATTTGATGAATTGAGAATCTTTGGAAGTGATTCTTTAATTCCTTCACCTTTTGTAGGTAACTCTTCATCTTCTCGTCTCGTGCCTCATATTCCGCTTGAACTTGTCCAGCGACCAGCTCGGAGTCGGTGTACATATTTAATTGCTCAACCCTTAGGGCATTTGCCACTTTTAATCCTGCTATCAAGGCTTCGTACTCTGCTTTGTTGTTGGTTGCTTTGAAACCAAACCGAAGTGCGTACTGTATACTTTCTCCCTCTGGGCAGACAAGAACAAGCTCGGCTCCGCTAACCTGAACATTAGATGACCCATCCACGAACAAGTCCCAGACTACTTCTGGGCCCATCTGCTCACTTAAACCTGGTTCTGTCGAAAATTGGGGTTGTTTCTCCTCTTCTTGAGGGGTAAACTCAGCTAAGAAATCAGCCAACACCTGAGCCTTTACTGCTGTTCTTGGCTTATACTGAATGTCGAACTCTTCTAACTCTACTGACCACTTTATCAGTCGACCAAAGCTTTCTGGCTTATGTAGGACCTGTCGAAGGGGTTGATCTGTTAGGACCACTATCGTATGCGCTTGAAAGTATGGTCTCAGTTTCCTGGCGAACACAATTAAAACAAATGCCAACTGTTCCATCCTTGGATATCTTTCCTCCGCACCCTTAAGTGCTCTGCTCACGAAGTATACTGGCCTTTAGACCCCTTCTTCTTTTCGTATCAGAGCTGAACTGACAGCTGTCGTGGAGACTGCAAGGTATATGTATAGTTCCTCTCCCGGTATGGTTCGAGACACTAGTGGGGGAGAACTAAGGTATTGCTTTAGTTCTTTGAACGCCTGCTTACACTCTGGGGTCTATTCCAACGCCTTCCTTAGCACACGAAAGAAAGGTAGACACCTGTCAGTTGACCGAGAGATTAGCCTACTCAAGGCAGTAATCTTCCCTGTTAGTCATTGTAGATCCTTGGTTGATCTTGGCGATCTCATGTCAATGACTGCTCGGATCTTTTCTGGATTGGCCTCAATTCCTTTTCTGCTTACCATATATCCTAAGAACTTTCCTGAGGAAACCCCGAAGGCACACTTGCTGGGGTTGAGTTTCATCTTATGCCTCCTAAGTACCTCGAAGGTCTCCTGCAGGTCAGTCAAATGGTCTTCAGCTTTTAAGCTTTTCACCAACATGTCATCAACATATACCTCCATGTTTCTACCAATTTGATGCTTAAACATTGCATTCACTAGCCTTTGGTATGTTGCACCAGCGTTCTTGAGCCCAAACGGCATTACTTTGTAACAGTACAAACCTCTATCAGTGATGAAGGCCATTTTTTCTCTATCTGAGGTGTACATAGATATCTGGTTGTATCCAAAATATGCATCCATGAAACTTAATAGTTCGTGTCCAGCCATTCCCTCAACGAGCATATCGATTCTTGGGAGAGGAAAGCTGTCATTCGGGCAAGCTTTGTTAAGGTCGGTGAAATCCACACACAGCCTCCACTTTCCATTTGCCTTCTTCACTAAGACCACATTTTCCAGCCAGTCGGGGTAGTACACCTCGTGAATAAAATCGACTTTTAAGAGTTTTTGCACCTCTTCTGATGTAGCCTGATTCCTTTCTGGAACGAAAGTCCTCCTCTTTTGTCTGACAGGTTTAAAGTCATGATTTACATTTAAGCGGTGCTCCATGATAGTGGGGTCTATACCCGGCATGTCTTCATGCAAATACGTCTCGATTCTTCCTGAGGAATTGAGTAAGTTCATCTTTGATACCTGGGGGGAGTAAAGACCCTATACTCACTTTTTTCTCGGGCTCACCATCACCAAGGATGACCTCTTCTAGCTCTTCTGTAGGTTCCGCTCTATGAAAGTCTGGTCTATCTTTCCCTTCCAGCCCTTCAATCGTAAATGCCTCTTGCAATTTTGTTTTCTGAGAGAGGCGACATAACATTCGCGAGCTATTGTTTGGTCCCCTCTTAGCTCTCCCATACCATATTCAGTTGGGAAACGCATCAGGAGATGGTAAGTGGACGTGATTGCTTTCATGGTATTCAATGTTGTCCTCCCCAGGATAAAATTATATGATGATGGGCAGTCCACCACTACAAAGTCCACCATTACAGTGACCTGCTTTGGATTGGCTCCTGCAGTAACTGGAAGGGTAACTGCCCCCAGTGGATATACTTTGTCGCCTGAAAATCCCACCAGTGGTGACTTCATGGGTCGGAGCTTCTCTCGGCCAATTTTCAATTTCTCGTACGCCCTAAGAAATAGTATGTCAGCCGAGCTACCATTGTCTATCAGTATTCGTCGAACAGTGAAATTAGCAACGACCATGGAAACTACCAGAGGGTCATCATGGGGCTGGTGAATTCCCTTGTCATCTTCTTCAGAAAAGGTTATGACCGACTCCTCAACTCGAGGTAATTTTGTTGGAGGACTTGTCATTCCAACTTCATTCACCTTTGAAAAATTCCGAATTCTCCTAGCATGAGCCTTCCGAGCCGAACTTGTCTCACCACCACCAGCGAAGCCACCCGATATAACTTTGATCTCACCCATTGGTTGGTGTTGAGGAGGGCGATCATCTCGGCCCTCCCAGGCTGGGTTGGAGCCTCCTTTTCCATTTCTAGTTGTGAATTTACGTAAATGACCTTTATGAACAAGGTTCTCGATCTGGTTTTGAGGTTGAAACAATCTTCTGTATTATGTCCATGGTCCCGGTGAAACCTATAGTATTTACCTAGAGACCTCTTTGTTGGATCAGCTTTTAGCTTTGGCGGCCATTTCAATGATGCGTCATCTTGAATCTGCAGAAAGACTGGCTCTACAGATGTATTTAGGGGGTATAGTTATTATACCTGCCTGGGCTCACTGGGCGGTGAGACGATCTGTCAGCCTGGTTGTTTGAGAATTTCTTGTACTTCGATTCCTTTTCCTCCCTAGTGTTAGGTGCTGGCCTCTTCTTCTCCGACCTCTTATCTTCACCATTTTTGTTTTTTCGTGCATTCATGTGCTTCCACGCTCTAACCATCAACTCTGTCATGCTTGTAGGGGCTTCTTTTGATAAGAAAAATAGGAACTTAAAAGTCTGTAGTCCTCCCATAAAGGCTGTGAGGGCAACCTTATCGTCCACATCTTCTACCTGCAGCATATCAGCGTTAAAACGACTTATGTAACCACGGAGAGACTTTCCCTTCTGCTGTTTCACATTCAATAAGTGTGTTGCTGTCTCCTATGCCTCTGCCCAGCGATGAAGTGTCCAATGAATTGTTTGCTCAACTCATTAAAGATTTCAATGGAGCTTGGCTTTAATTTATTGAACCAAAGACGAGCTCAACCCTTTAGTGTGGTAGGGAAAGCCCTGCACATAATCTCATCCGGTACGACTTGCAAATACATAAGAGCTTTGTAGGTCTCTAAATGATCGAGAGGGTCCCGCGTCCCATCGAAGCTCTCAAGAGTTGGCATCTTAAATTTGCTAGGTAGAGGACAACTCATAACATAACAGCGAGGCTAAATACTAGGTTGGTCTTCTGTACCAGATCGTTCACTGTGGCCTGGCCCTTCCCTTTCATTGCTTGCATGACGTCTTTGACCCTAGTTCTCAGATCTTGCATCTATAGATTGAAATAAGTGAAGTCTTCAGTCTTGTCACCAACACAACCAGAGGTACCTGCACGGAGCCTGGTATTATTCTGTTTAAGAGACCGATGGTGATGGCTTCTCTGTTGACCCCCTATTTGACTAAGCTCAGCGTCGTTGTCAATCCTACGGGAGTCATTATTGGGTACTTTATTATTCTCCACCTCATTAAGGTCGGCTAAGCGTTGTAGAATCATTGAATTTTTCTGGACTAATTGGTTCATTCCCTTATTTAAGGTTTAAACATATTGTTGCAACGCTGTGACGCGTTCCTGATCGTTTGAGACGGCGGGGGGTTGCCTCGTCGAGTCCCTTTGATCAGAAGTTTGCAACGCTTCGTATTCACCAGCAACCAGACCAGATCGCAATCGAACCATACTTTATTTAGAGAACTAAAATCGTTCCCAGACGGCGCCAACTGTTGATGATGGATTCTGCGTAACCCGGATCTAATCTAACTTCCTGGACAGAGAGAAGAAAAGGTGATCCTACAAGCACCGGTGTGTTACTGGTGGAGTAGGCTCCGACGAATAAGTCAATGTGCGAATTAATCTCTTAAGAGAAATTAAGAACTTGAGTTAGGGTTTTTTGCGTACCTCCAAACGTTGATTACAATGCCTTTTTTATAGGGCTTAGGTTAAGATGTCACGTAGAATTACCTTATTGTAATCTGTAGACTTAATCCTTATCGTAATCTGTAAAGCCTATCTCAATCTGTAATCCTTATCGTAATCTGCAGAGATTATTTCAATAGTACGTTAATTTAGCAATCTTCCCTTAATTATGGATATTTAAATTATACATCCATCATGTACTATGGCATGCAAAAAAGAAAGACTTACCTAACAAGTATAGATTGGTCGTTCTCTTGTTTTTTTGATTTCAAATATATATATATTTTTTATTATATATTATTGAGATTGATATATCATTAAAAATATATATATTTTTATTTCTTAACCTTTACATCAACTTTTTAGGTTAAGTATTCAATCACAGTGGCTACGGTTTTGTGCTTTCGTCCTTTGGGAATTTAGATATTTTCTCTTTTGCAGTCTTTTATTAAGATTAATATCTCATTAAAAATAATATTTTATTTTATTTTAAGATTTTTCTTTATTTTTTTCAATGACAGTAATGGGCATCTTATAATAGTCAATAATTTATCGTTAGAATTAAAAAGTAATGTAAGCCAATGAAAAGAGCATTTTTGAGAAAAATCATTCCATTCCAGATTTGATGATAGTCAACCAAATAATAGAATGGTAATAATCATTACATTCCATAACGATTTACTGTGTCACACCAAACATTAGAATAGTAATACTCATTCCATTCTTATTTTCATTCCATTCCAAATTGTATTCCATTCCATTCTTGCACACCAAACCAAATTAGTGAAGTATAGCATTTTTCTTATTTTTATAAAGTAAAAACTTATAATTATTTAATTTTAGTTAAGGAAACAATATATTACATAATATCAACTATGGAGTTCTTTCCAAATTTTTATTATGGGAACTTTTTTTCATTTCCTTTATTTATTTATATATATTTATATATTTATATATTTTTTTGAAAAGAAGGAAAAAAAAATAATTATCTACATTTTACTTTCATGGAAACTTGAATTCAACTTCTTGCCTTATTCAGTTTACTTTTATGAAAAGCTTGAACGGAACTTTGCCTTAAAAATTGAGAAAGTATTACCGATAATAAAAGGGTCATTTTGAATTGTCTTTTAGAATCTTTTCCTAATAAATTGCCAAAAACCTATCTAAAATATCATTGCAGTGGCCGACTTGGGGAACAAAGAGTCAGGAAGAAAAAAAATTACATTAAAATTCATGGCTCCCGAGTCTCAATGTCTCACTATGTTATTTGGTCCAACTATTCGATAGGCCCAACTCCACTCTTTGAGTTCCACCATGTGGTTCGGCCCAGCTCTTCGGTTGAAATTTGGACCTATAAAATGGAAAAGCAATGAACGGACACTCCTTTCAAAAGATGGGGAGAGTGTGTGTTCCTCGTTAATGAAAAAATAAATACAAAATAAAATTTTGGACCGATTAAATTAATTAAGTGAAAAAAAATTAACAATATGTAATTAAATTCAATCACACCTATTCTCTCCTCATTGTTCTCATAGGCTCAAATGAATCCATATGAGATAATCCCTTTTGTACAATTTAATTTTCATTTTTATATCCATAGATGGTTTGATAATTTAAATAAAACTTTTATCACCTACTCTTCTTTCTATATATACATGCACCACAATCCTTCTCAATGGGTGCCATTCTCACATTCCGAGCGCTCCGTGTATGCTCTCGCTCTATTTTCACTATTTGTAACTTAATTTTGCCACTTTCGCGATTTCGCTTTTGAATTTGCTTTCGCTCCCACTTTATGTGACTTAGGTTACTACTATTCTTTTATATTTAAATTATTTATGTCCCACTTCCTTCAAGCCTCCTATGGGTGTGATCTAATCCACCACAACCCTCCTATGGGTGTGATCTAATCCACCACAACCCTCCTTTGACCCTCTCTATTCAACTTTGATGCACAAAAACAGAATGAGTTATAAAATGTAGATATCTTACCTTGATCCATTATAAGTAAGAGATTTGAATAAGATCCTAAAAATAAAAATAAAAAGAAGATGTTTCATTTTCCCACTGACTACATAAATAGTATTTCTCCATTTAATAATATCAAAAGTTAACATATTTTCTTTTACCTAAAAAAAAAAGTTAACATATTTTCATTGAATTTCCGCAGCCTTGACAATCTTCCTTAAAATATCTATCTCCTTTTTTTTTTCTTTTTCTTTTTTCAGGTCAATCTCACTGTTAAGATATTTTTAAGTGTAAAATTACAATGTCGTCAATTAATACAGTTTATTAAATTAGAAAAAAAGAATGATTGACACAAAATCAAATCCTTCTGTATGATTGGTCCATTTCTTGGACCGGCAAACTAATTGATGTGGTGTCTTTCCCGCTAATCATAAATTGTTTGGTACTGAAACTCAAACATAAGACTCCTTGTTGGACACGCTTGTTGCAGTCACGCATTCATCAATAATGATATATATATTTAGAGGTGTAATTACTATCGTTCGACATTAAAATTTAAGTTGTCAGGTGCATGCTTTTGTTATGGTTTGACCACCTGAGTTTGGCCAGTACTCATTAACACACAATATAAAAGTTTAAGTTTTTGTTACGGTCGGACCACTTATCTATTTCTCTAACTAGCGGTGGAAGGATCAAATAATTAACTACCCGAATTCAAACACCACTTGAGTTGGCTCTTGGTGTGACATCAAATCAACGACAATCAATAATTAGACTTATTCTATTAACCCGCGTGACAAGTTTGGACTCTTGCCTTAAACTATTAGGTAAACCGATCTAGAAGCCAGCTCAAGACCCTTCCATTTGGATCCCACCTGAAATTAACAAGAACCTCTAACAATATACACACACACACACACACACACATAGTGTATAAGATTTAGACACTCTCAACATCAATCAACCGGGTCGATCTGTTAATTAATTAAACATAGAAGATTTTATTTGATCATGAATCAAACACAACATACAAATAAAGAATAACACAAACACTCATGCACGAAACTGTATCACCAAAGTAGTGATTTATGACATGAAGTACAAAACATTGATACAGACAGTATTATACAAGACTATGCAGTATTTCTCAGGATCAGCATCACCCGGACGGTTTGACTTTGTTCTTGCTGCTAGAGGGAGTAGCAGCTTTCACCAATTTCTGAACAATCATTGTTGACACGTTCTTCCTATCCGGAGGAATCACACTCCCAGGCTTAGAATGTTGGGACATCGACGGCGGACCTTGACCACCCTGATCTGCCATATCACCTCTGTCTACTTCTGTCTTAATGCTTCTTGCCTTTCACAAATGAAAATGAGAGATATTAATGGTAGCTCTTATGTTTGACAAATGAAGAGAACATAGGGTTAGGGTTTTTATAGAGACTTTGAAGTCATACTTTTTCTGTAGTTTACGTACGTTGATATTGCATGGTGGTGGTGTGGGTGTTGGTGTCGGTGTAGGGTGTCACGCGTGAATGTGGAATTTGGGCTAGCTGCATGTGAAATATGGAATATGTTGAAATGAGATTACCATAAGCCTATTAAACATAAATTTTCTTTTTATTCTAATTACACACAAAAAAAAAAAAAAAAAGTAAATTAAAAAAAAAAATTCACGTAAATTTACTTTTGACTATATATATACACATACACATCACACATGTATATAATATGAACAGAGGTAGTGACCAGCAAGAATGGTTTTTTTTTTTTTTTGTTAGATTCATTTCCTAAGTAGTTCTTGCAAACTTACTATGACATTAACTTGTTTACTTTCAATGAATTGCTAATTTCACTTTTGACCATATATATATATATATATATATGCACCTAATATATAGTATATATAATATGAACACAGATTGACTGGGAATAATGGTTATTATTATTATTATTATTTTTAATGTTACATGCATTTTCTAAGCAGTTCTTGAAATCTTCCTCAACTTACTATGAAATTGACTTGTTTACTTCCAATGAATTGCTAGTTAGTTTAGTTGAAAGGGATGACACTATGAATCAGCCTGCAAGTTTTGTAGTTTCTTTTCTCTATCCAAGTTATTTCCATTCAATTAATTTAGGAATACATGTCTCATGTCTAATAATTTACACGACATGAAAATATATAGTATTCAATTAATTTATAGAAGTTAGTAAGAATTTCAGAGAAAATTAACCGAAATTTTAATGAGCAATGCATGCATGTATGCACTCTTTTCTTGTATGCTTCTTACGAAGTGCATACATATACGTTATTGTTTTGGCGAAATTATTGATGTGGCTTTTAGGCTTTCAAAGTGCAAGATATATATATAGACAAACCATCATAGCTAATTCAAATAAAATATGAGAATTTTTATTTATTTATTTTTTTCACTTTCAAAAGAATTTTTATTTTTAATGTGGGACTATTAAGTCAAGGGTATGAGCTCTTAAGATGTGCTCCAGCTAAAAAGATGAAAATTTGTGTTGAAAAATAGACTCCATAAACAGAGGTTTATTGCCCCACAATGGACTTTCTCTCTCTCTCTCTGACAAAGAACTCAGCATCTACCATCCCTTGTGAAGATGCAAGAAATTCATACTCTCTTTCTCTCTCTAGAATTCTTACATTTCAACAAAAAGATCTCTCCCATTCTTTCCATTCCTCCTCCTATTTATAGATATTTACAAGATATTTACAAATATTGACGGATTGCTGGATCTGGGCCTGTTCCTCCATAAGTCCTGGT